TTTTCACCCGCTTGCTGTGGTGAAAAACTAATCTCTCTTATCGTATCGCCTTCTCATTGGACTATAAGAGTGAGGGAATAGAAAGTACACCTGTTATAGCGCATGTTCCGCACTATGATCTTGTCCTGCGCAGATAGCTAGACGCCGTTGGAAGCCGTGACCTAAAATTCTGTCTGAATGAGGTTAATATTATTACTATGTGCCCCGTAACTGCTTCCATGCCTACCTCAAATCTTATTGCTTAAGAGTTACATCGGAAAACGAAACAGTTTAGAAGAGTTAGTACGGAGCACTCAAACGTAGTGGTTAAATTCTCTTTGCACTCAATTATGAATGGATGATAACTTGTAACCGTATTCATACGAGTACTTATCGATACTCGTATGTTATCTCCGTGATCGCGTTAGAAGTGAGAGATATCCAGCAATAGACCAAACGACATTAAAATATTTGATTCAGGGTGATATAATTAACTGACTAGTTTTGTATCACCTACTGGTGTATTGCACAAACGAAAAAAAGTATGCTATTCGTGTTATGAGATAATGTTTCTAAATTTAGTACCCTTTTATCCTGATCTTTTCTAGAAGGGGACCGGAGAGTAAGACAAGTATAAGAAAGATACAACTAACCTTTTATATTTTTGGTTCTCTCTACAGCTCTTATCGCCTCTTGGCAAATTTGTTTCATGTTAGCTCGCAAAGCCGCAAAGTCATTTGTTTTATCGATTTCGCCCTCCTAAAAATAGCAAAATAATTTGTAAACCTATTCTCGTGTAAAATTCTAGTATGGATTTGGAATAATATATTTTTTATAATAATGGTATGTTTTATTTACCTCTTCTGCTGTTTTCTTCCCAAATAATGTATTTCTATTAGTTTTGAAGTGATCCGATCTATAAGAATATAAAATATATATAAAATTAGTGATTTTATTTTAATCTAAGAGTAGAAAGTAGTAAAGAAATAAGTAGTAATGTGTATGAGTTCATAATTATTGTACATATTTAATGGAAAAGTCATAAAAGTGCTAAAACGTAACGACAAAAAGACTAAAACCGTTGATTTTTCGTGTTTGGACTAAAGAAAAAACCTGTAATCTTTGATGCTGCGAAAAGATCTCTTTTTCGTTGTTCTCCTCCTCCAATATTTTCCAGGATTGTAACCAGTACGAATACTATCTCCAAATTTCTTAAACTTCTTATTTATCCACTGTCCTGAACGTTTTACGAAATTGTTATCATCAACAGAATGCTTATTCCTCATTTCATTATCGAAATAGTCAATTTTGACACCGTATTCATCATCGTAAATATCGTTCCAGAAAATGAGATTGCTTTCCCCTGCGCCTCTTTTCACTACAGTTTTGTTTTCTTTGTTATCTGACAACGAATTTGTTCCGTTTGCATGTTCACTGCTGTTCTTTAATTTTGTAACATTAATAAATGGCTGCTTTTTTAATGTATCTGCAAATTCAAAATAGTTGATAAATTTGTTAGCTGTTCTACATCAAATATGTTTAATTTTCTTATTTATTGACAATAATAGTAATGCATTACAAATATGGTCATTATGTTCATTTCTTATGACATTTCCCGGAGAAAAGGAATAGTAAATTTATTTACAGTTTCACAGAAAAATACTAAATAAGATTATATTGCATTATATAATATATCTGAAATGAAAACATAGGCAAGTTTGTGCCTTATACATTTAAGCGAAAAGATGATTGTATAGTAAAATTAGTAACCTATTTTGCCTTGTGTAATTTCAGGTGCTTTCTGTTCCATTACTGTTGTTTCATTCGTTGATGTATTAGATACATGTTCACTATTTCCATCAAAAGACATAAGTACTCTTGATCTGTGACCAATATTTTCTATCATATCGGCATCATACATAGGGTACATAATTCCATTTGTGATATTTTCAGGTATTGATGTGGATTGATCAAATTTTGGTGTAAAATTGTACCTGCAGTAATTTTGACAACTTTTAAACCAATAAATAATAATTAATTGCATAAGTTTTACAATTGATTTAAACACAATTGGTTTTTACAAAGTCACGTATTATTTTCGATATTGAAAAATTTTATCATTATATAATAAAATGTATCAACAAAAATCTAACCCGGGTATTTGCACTTCATCTTTGAACTCCCCAGATAGCTTGGCTAATGTCAAAAACCAATCAGATAAAACACGCAATATTTCACTAGAATCTGAAGAACTTTTATTATGACTTGAATTTAATGCTTCTTCCTGTCCATAAGATATATTTTGTGAATCATTCCTAAATGTATTTCTATCATATTTGGAAGCATCTGATTGTATTAAGGGTACTATACTGGATGCGTCATATTTAATATTATCATCGATTAGTTCACTTTTAGTGTTTTTTATATCTTCTGTTTCAAGGGACTTCAAGGACCGCTGTTTTCGCAATGTAGTAAAATCTAAATTTTCATCAAAAATAATATTTCGATCTGCTCGTATTTTTTTGGAATTGTTTAGTTCATCGTGGCATGGCATTGTTTGGTTTCTTTTGTCATCTAAATATTTTATATGTTTTGATAAAATACCAGATATATTGAAATTGCTTTTTAATAGTGTTTCGTTATTTAAGTTAATTTGTATTCCTTCATGTTCTGGAGAGACTGAAAATTTTAAAATATATAAAGAAGGAGTTATAGCGATAAATCTCATACACTGATAATATTGAATAAATGTTAAAGACAGTAACAAAGTTAAAGTCAAATATTTTCAATTGAAATTAGCTTTTACAAAGCATAAAGCTTTTTGAAATTCAAACCCTACGACATCGGCTTAACAAGTCCCTACGATGGGAAGACCTTGTGAGAAAAAGCAGCAAGAAATTTACAATAAGACTATTTTTCTCCCAACAGTTACAAATTATCTATATAACATATAGGTAAAACCTAAATCTAAAGAATTATGTAGTTATCTGTATTTTATTACAACATGTTGCATAGTTCTTTATCACCTATTTAATTTCGAATCTTTCATACAAAGCAAAATATAAAAAAAAAAAAAACAATAACCAGAATCAACTTTTAGGCTACGTTTCCACCAGAGATGTGCGAGGTAGGTGGGTACGTTTCCAGTAGAGATCTTCATCTCACAGAATACCAGCGTCTAATAGCAACTTAACACTGCTGTGTTTCGTATGGTGAGTGTAGAGAACCGGAGACCTTTTTTACTGGAAACGAGGCATTCCATCTTAGTCCTCACGGGTGGCAATGCATCTGCATTTTGATTCACAAATGAGAATAAATGTAGATGTCTATGGGCCACAGCAACCACTTACCATCAGGTGGGCTGTGTGCTCGTTTGTCACCCTATACTATAAAAAAATGTGCTAGGCCGTTGAGCGGTGCGAGGATGCGTAGTGACGCTGTGAAATGGTACGTAGATGAGCGGTGCGAGGATGTGTAGCGAGTTCATTTCAGATGCGATCAGGGTGAGGTGTGGTGGGAGCGAAACACGCGTGGCAATGCCCGCTGCCTCTTGTGTCCTTCCCTCGCATACATTTATCGCAACACATCCTTCGCGTACATCCTTCCCTTGTTTTGTATATACATAAACCTCGCTCCGCTGAGCCGTTTCCACCAGAGCTGCGCTGAGCGAGGCTAGGTAAATGAAGTGATTTTATTAGTTTTTATGAAACACCTCTCGCTACACATGATTTCACATCTCTGGTGGAAAGGCAACCTTATTCTTGCCATTGTTGCAACGATATGTTGTTCAGCACGTTACTGTAGTGTTTGGATGATCCTATTTCACGGTAATTTTATTATTTGTTTTTTTATTTGTTTATTTAAGTTTTATTTTTAGTTGCATAAGTTATGTGAATCATGAATTAAACAAGTCTAATGTTTTTATAATTTTTGTGAATCCCACTGTGGCGAAGTTGCGAGTAAGTTTACAAGATGCCGGTTTGTAAAATGGTAGTAGTCATTGAGAACCATTTGAAAAGGAATGAAATAATTATTTAGAGACATGATTGCAAAGAATAAATATTTTACGAGAAATTAAAAATATAACCAATTAGGACAACGTTAAATTCGTTGATAAAAATGGCTAAACGGAAAAGATGGGTGCCTCATAATTTGCCATGGGAAATCTGACAGAGGAGGATTTGTAGAAAATACAACTATTACACAAGCGATCACTGGGGCAAAGTGACGGAGAAAACAAAGAAAATTGTTATGGATGACTATGAAAGAGACATTCCTTTCGAATGCATTATAGTAAATTAAATAATAATAAGCGTAAACAACCATAAACAACAAGTAGTGAAAGCCATTTGTTTTTAATCTTAAGAAATTAGCAGTAAGCGATAAATATGAAAAAAACTGATAAATTTAGTATTTTTAATTTATTCTGATATTGATCTAGGTAAAACTGTAAATAATTACCAACTCTAAAGAATCGAAAATTGTAGGTACCGATTTTTCAGTTGGAATACCTAGTCCAATAAATGTGACAGCTGTCAAAAGGTATTTCTTAGATTTGGTGGAGTATAATAAGTGAGATGTCGTATAATCATTCATGACTTTATGTCGAATGACGCAGAAAAATTTGTAATAGTCGGGAGAATGCCATACTTAGCAGATAGACTAGTAATAATAGAAGACCTAATGTACTCTTGCTATCACTGGTCTACCTGCTAAGTAAGTCAATAGTAAAATCTCTAAATCTCAATCTTAAACAATTTCCGGAAGTTGAAACTGTAACAATATCGATAGAACGATTTGAATATATTTTCTAATAATAATAACACATTTATAATTTTATTATAAACACAAATTACATAGCTAGGAAGAAATACTTTTTATTTTTTAAACGGAATGAAAAATATCCTGTTCAATTATTGAAGGTATATAATAATGCAGAGATGATGATTATAATATTACTGCTTATTTGCTGGAACATAAATTACCGTTAATAAGTATAAATATTTAGAAATACAAAAGTTTTAATACCTACGCAATTTTGCGTTATTTTTTCCTTTAAAGGATAAGTTTTTGATAATTTCATCTTTTCCTGGAATTGCTACCATTTTGTGATCAAGTACTTTACTCTCTGTAGCTAAATTCTTTTCATTTGTAACAGATTCCTTTTTCTCCGCTAATACCCCATAATCACTATATGCTTGCGCTAACTTATCATATTTATTGTTAAAATAATCTTCTATGTATTCCTTATCAGTAATTTGACTATCGAGTTTGTCTTTTTGAGCTAACATTTCTTTTACGTCTTCAGAAATTTCATTCTTAGGATTTTGCACGACGGCGTGTTTTATTAAATTTAATTCATCAGGGTATAAGGGCATTGGACCTTTCCAGTTTGGATTATGAATAGATGGTATATCTTTTTCACTAGACTTTTGTTCATTCGGTATTACTAATTTCTGGAAAATTTAAAAAGTATTCATTTCACTTCAAACATTTCACTATAATAATAGCCAAAGAATATAAAAAGCTATGATCTATCACAATTAAAAATAGAATTTACATTGGACATAAGATTTTAAAGTCTCAAATTGCAAGCTGATTTCAAGACCTTGAGTAAACGCCTCACCACTGACCATCTGAACCCAATATCACTACGATATAATAATTCTCTACAAATAATGTTTCTCATTCGTATTTTAAACATCCCAAAAAAAGTTGGCAATTTTATTATCTCAATTATCACAATAAAGTATTAACGTGATTGTAATTGTATGAAATATGTATGTACTTATAAGTTTGGATATTTTACAATTACATTTGTAAAATTTTATACCAATTAACACACTGAGTTTTTGATTGGTTACTTATGTATCACAGTACCTGTTGTGATCAGGCTATGTTCGGCGTTAAAAAGAAATATAACTTTCTCACTGAGAAATTTATATTTTTTTTCTCAGGGATACCTAGAAAATCTTGTAAAGTAAAACATTATCTGAGTCAGAAAGTTTATTTTTGATATATTCATTGATCTGCAGTAAAGGATAATGTTTTTATGTATTCACACAAAGCTGCAGTTGCAGCCTAGTTAACTACCAGTCACAGTTAGGATTTGATTCATGCACGGGAGAAGGGTATTTGTATGGTTTACTAAAAAGTACTACAAGCGATGGTTGCTGAGTAAGATTCATGTGAAATGTATATGTGTAAAACCTACAAGCCTATTTACCGTGTACCTATAGCGTCCCGTGGGCTTCGTAAGAGGCGACAAGCAAAGAGATGGGCTGCGGCGACTCCCTAATAATAAATAGGATAAAAATCTTTTGTAGCCAACCCGCCTGTCAAGTGTGGCAACAATAGCAAATATTTCATGATGAGACAATCTATGACGAGGCCTGTGTTCAGTTTTATACGCTGTAATAAAGAACACGAGAAATTCCTACAATGTGTAAAAGAATAAAACAAAATTAGTTTAAATAATTTTTTTAAACTAAGTCAAAGATCACATACGTCCGATCTTCTGTCTCTTTCAACTTGTTTATCTGTCTCGTCATGAGTGTCCATATAATCAGATAAGACTTCTTTGAAGTCCTCGTACCCAAGATTGTCATCATCTTCTTCATTGAACTGAAGAAGTTTACGCTTGCTTTGATGTATCTCCGCGTTATCCGTTAAAACGTTTATGCTTTCGGTGCTTTCAGAATTTCTTGAACAAAAAGAGAATAATAAAAGTTGATTAATATTTAAAATGAATGGAACTGCTTACTATTGTGAAAAGTTAAGTAATTGACCGAGTGCTTTTCTTATCACGTTTTATAATATTTTATGGTTATTCCTAAATATGTAAAAAATATTGTAACTGGAGTACAACTAATGCGTGAACAGCACGTGATAAATCCCTTCTATTATTATGGCTGTAGCACAAACGAGTTGAACTGACCGAAAAAGAACTACGCCCGCATAGAATATCAGCGCAATCCTCCTGTGTTTCTTAACGATTGTGTTTCTTAGCGACGACTGGTAACTAAGCATTTATTTCAGTCCTCATAGGTGAGTTTTAATTCCTACCGATGATATTTGAATTTGTCTATGGATCACAACATGCATTTATCATCAAGTAGTGTGTTCTCATTTGTCACCCTTAATAAAGAATAAGCACAATGTCTGCGTATAGCGTGCATGCTGTATAAATATAGGCGGGGAAGGGTTTTCTCCTTAAAGTTAAAGTTACAGCATATATACGTCCCAAAGCTGACCTCCTCTCATTTCCGAGAGGGTTTTAAGGCAAGGAAAAGTTCACCGCTCTGCTCCAATACGTGTTGGTGAACGTCACATATCTATGAAATTCCGTCGCCGTCAATCCCAAATGCTGCGGATGGTGGTGCTGAGATTGACGGCGACTGGTATAGTGCGCGCGATTGAGGGAGGGTGGGAGGTATCCATGAAAACCAATTGTAATAAATTCCACGCGCACGAAGTCGCGGGGAGCAGCGAGTTATTAACATAAATTTAGAAAAAGATATAATTTATAATAAGATAATACATACATTAATGTTGATACACTTAGGACAATATCGTAGAGTGGGGTTGTTGATAGTAATGAATATCCATAGCCCTCTTTATATTCATCTTTATACTGTGGTTCTTTGTCAATCAAACCTGACTTTGAATCGGAACCAATGCTCATTCTCTTAAATTCTGCGGACATCGTATTAGTTTCAAAGACTGGTGTCTTGGTTGCTCTAGCAGAAACCTTTTTTTGCACTTCTTGTTTATTTTTGGTAGTAATTTCTTCCTTTGGTTTATTTTTGGTAGTAATAGCTTCCTCCTGTTTATTTTTGGTAGTAATAGCTTCCTCTTGTTTATTTTTGGTAGTAATAGCTTCCTCTTGTTTATTTTTGGTATTAATTGTTTCCTCTTGTTTAGGATGTTTGCATTTGTCTCTATTACTCACTAAAACGTCTAACTCAAAAGGGTTTGCTATGATCTTATCCATGTTTTTCTCCAGCAGTTGATCCAAAAGTTCATCCAATCGCTGCGAACTCTTGTAGAATGGATGCTTTAGTTGCTTTTCGTGCGATTTTGACTCTTTTGGAGTATGCGAGCATTTAGGAAAATTTCGTTTTCGGTCAAGTGGACCATATTGAACCATGACCTTTTTCTTTTCTATGACAATTCCAGAAGGCTCATCGTCATATATTTCTCCTTTTGCTCTTTTAATTCTTGTTGGTGTGCGGCTTGGTTCATTGTATTCCCTCACGGCAGCAAACGGTGGGTAATACAAATTAAATTTACTTAAATCTATGATATCACTATAGCCAGATTCTCGTCTTTGCGGAGGACTATAGGATGGACTGTTTATCGACATCAATGACCGTTTGTACTTGTCTGAAATAGGTTTCATACTAATGTCACCAGCAGAGCTGTAAACATTTGATTCTTCCGTTTCTTTTTTTAATTTTTTGATGCGAGCATCTGTTTGAATGAGTCTATTATAGAAGTCTGCAAAATAAATTAAGAACAATGTTGTCATAATAATTACTTACATTTATGCAAGTACTAAACTTTTATCTAGAGTTTATAAGTACTAACATTTCTTGAGCATATATAGTATATCAGGGACCATAAATTTCACAGTACGTGCCTTGGTCATCGCTGATACCAATGATCGTTTGGTTTTAATTTTGCATTTTGGTACAATTTTAAGTGATGTTTTACCACGTGCTTGACGGTAAAGGAAAATCGTGGAGACACCCACATGTCTGAGGTATAAAAATATTTCGAAGATAAGCAACGCGAGGAGGCCCAGCAGTAACAGTTGACTAGTAGAGAGTTTGTAATCCATAATTGAAGATGTTAGCAATGACGAATTAAAATATAAATAAATAAGACTAGCATGTAGGGCGGCTTCCTTTTAGATCTGATGACCTAGTAAGTCGATGGATGCAGGTGGCTTAGGACCGTTTTTTATGGCGTTCCTTGAAGCAGCTGAGGAGGTTAAGCAGTGGACTTGTGAAGGGCTGTAATGATGAATCATAATGTATCTCGGTAAACTGTGTAAATGTTTTCATTGATTTTAAACCAATGTGGATGCATAAGGTCATTTTATTTTAATACAACTCTAAAACTATATTATTTTTCTTACCACGTAGTTTTTCGCTCGTTTGACTATCGGTCATTTTTTCTGGATCTAGAATATGGGACAATGTTCCAGAGAGTCTACTTCCGGATTCATCAGGATAGTTCTAAAACAAAAAAGAAAAAATGAATTCGGATTTTAGATATTTTCTGTAAGAGACATCAGAATGAAACAAATTAGACGATGGCAGAAGCAGCATTTTTTCAATAGCGTCTAAAATTAAAAACACTGCGGTTAACAACCCGCTTGCTAGGCATGGCAACTATGGCAATAATCCCCCCTACGATGCAATTTATGGGGGAGGCCTATGTTCAGCAGTGGACTTTGATAGGCTGTAACGGCGAGTATACAGTAAAGTAGGCGCAACTTTACCGTATACTTACTTTTGGATAAACTTGTCCTTGGAAATAGCTATTGTAAGAACTCGTCAAACGTAATTATTAAGAAAGTCATGTTTAACGTGTGACATGTGACTTTGAATCTAAAGTTAGTGCTACACGTGATCTAGTCTTATATAGATCGATTTTTTTCAGTAGATGCTTCATCCATTCTCGATTAACAATCGAGAGGGAAAGAGTCTCTGAAGACTAAGATTATTTTTTTTATATAGACGTAGGGGCTAACTAGCATGCGATTCATTTTATTGTAAGTATCAACCGCCGCCCATCAACAATTGCAATGCCAGGGGAATCGCAGGTGCGTTGCCGGTCTTTTAAAAAGGAATAAACTAATTTTTTGAAGGTCCCTAGGTTGTATGGATCCGGAAAAATCCGGAAAAATCTGATTAAATTTCTTTTATTATCTGATAGATATGTACTGTATAAGAATTTTTGTCCTAGGGATTAAAATTTACTAGTGTGTATGTAATAGCAATTTTATATAGAAAAGAAAATCAAAATCAAAAAGTCCTTTTATCTATATTATACATAGATTTAATTAATCGGAGTATTTATCATTGATGCTGTTTTGTCATTTTAAAAGTAGTTCAATGTTTTATCTATAGAATCCAGGTGATAGTAAGCGACGATTATTAAAAAACAAAACATTTTTCTCCGCCTCATTGCAGTTGAAATTTTCCCCTAAGTACCTATTGAAATTAGAAAAACTTTAAAATTAAACTTTTTTTATAGGAGAGGGGGCAAACGAGTATGCGGTAATGCTGATGGTAAGTGATTACCACCGCCCATGAACAACTGCAACACCAGGGAATTGCAGATGAGTTGACGGCATCTTGAAAAGGAGTAGGCTCTTTTCTTGAAAGTCCCTAAGTCATATCGGTCCGGAAAAATCGCCGGTGGTAAACGATTCCACAAAGTAGTCGTGCGAGGAATTAGACTCCTATTAAATCGCACAGTAGTGGAATGTCAAGCATCCAGGTGATGTGTATGGTACAGTAAGTTTCGTCGCGATGTGCATTGGTGAAACTTGGCGGGTGGAATTAATCTAAACTATTTCGCAGAGTACTCCCCGTAGTAGATGCGATAGAAAATATTACCTTGTTACAAGTATGTGTCCAGTTTACGCCATAAGATCTTTATGCTGCTAAATTAAGCTGGTATTCAGTGAGAGCGTGGTCCTTTCCCTGTCGAGCCGACTCATTCATTTCTTCTACAAATTTACTATGCGGCAGCTGGTAGCTCCAGCAGATAAAATCTTTTTAATACTATTCTACGAATATTCTAGAATTCTGTTTTATTCTGTGTTATTTCCGTCAAATTATAGGAATGGAAACTATAATTAACAAACTAAAAAGATGTGTATAATAATGAGTGTATAGAACTTTATTAACAATAAAAATCCGGTCAGAAAAACCCTTTTCCTTGGAAATTAAAACAACTAATTATTTAACACTCAAATGCGGGTGGGTATAACTCTTGCGGGCCGCTCAGGCCCACCTGGGCACTTTTAAATAACCACTCAGGACATATTTATTGTGAAGGGTTAATATACCAAAATGGCGACAAAATGGGCCTTTTAAGCACCGAGCTAATGGTGTCGTTGGACCATTCTTTATGAGGTCCATGCGGAGTCCTTTATTTAACAGATATACTTCGTTTAAACTTTAAATCGTTACTATTATGCATAATGCCAGTGCATATATGCTTAAAAGATAATTCTCAAATCGGTTGTGCTCGGGAATCGACATTAATTTTTAAATTTTGAATGTGTAAATGTGTGAGAAAGCGCTCCCGTGGCCAGACAGCTATGCGACGAAGGTGAAACACCATGGATTTTATTAGGTGCGAATCCGACATACCTTGTCCTTGCCCCCTGAGGCGGGTGTGCATAGGCATATCCACATGTAAAAAAAGGTTATCGGACTATCACCGGTAAAAACCTACAGTGGTCACGATAAGACAATTGACAGGTCCGGTGATATCCGTTTGAAACGTAACCAGGAGAGCTGCATGCATATTAAGCACGTACCGGGGGCAGTATTATCCCAGCATGTATAGAGGGCGGCACTGAAAATTTCGGGAATCAAGGAAGTGACACAACATTACTATTTAAAAATGTATTTATTGCTTTTCGAAGTATTCTCCGCGAAATTTGACACATTTTTCCATACGATGGAACCAATCATTGAAGCAACCATTCCATTCGGAAGTTGGGGTCTCCAAAATGGCCGTTTTGTAGGCGTCCACAGCTTCTTCAGGTGATGAAAATCTCCGTCCACGCAATTTATTCTTTATTTTAGGGAAATTATAGAAATCATTAGGGCTTAGGTCGGGGCTGTACGGCGGATGGTCTAATAATTCTATATTTTCTTGCTCTAAAAACTCTTTTTTTCTGTGTGCGTTGTGAGAACTCGCATTGTCGTGATGGAGGATGATGCGACGGTTGTAGTTCTCTTTACGGAGTTCAGAAACGACCTGTGGCAAACAAATGCTAGCATACCATTCTGCATTAACAGTTCTTTGCTCCTCAAGAAGAATAGTCGTAACATGGCCGGTTTTAGAGACAAACGTGGCCACCATTTTTTTTTAACACTCCGTGAACGAACAATTTTTGTTGGCTTTAACTCATTTTCGAGCACCCAAACTCGTGACTGGTTTTTTGTTTCGGGTTCGTACGCGTATATCCAGGATTCGTCACTTGATACGATGTTGTATACAGCATTTGAGGATCCTGCGTGGAATCTTCCGAGAGTTCTGACGCACCAAGTAACGCGAGCCGCTTTTTGCTCTTCACAGAGCGAATGTGGTATTCATCGGGAAAACAACTTTTTTACACCTAATTGTTCATGCAGATTATTTGTATTTGACTCATGCTAATGTCTAAAGTTGCCTGAATATCACGGTATGTCACATGTCGATCTTCCTCAATCAGCTTACGCACAGCATCAACGTTTTCTTGGGTGACTGCAGTTTTTGGACGACCTTGACGGGGATCATCACTGAGCTTGACACGTCCACGTTGAAATTCAGCAAACCAGCGATAAATTTTGGTTTTGGATGTGGCTTCATCACCAAATGCAGAAATCATCCGGTCAACACACTGTTTTTGTGTTAAACCACTTCGAAAGTCATAATAAATCATCGCTCTTGAATTTTCTCGAGTCTATTCCATTTTCCCAACGACTAAACAAGTTTGATAAAACCTTGTGGCAAAATCGAGAAACTTTTTAAAAAAAATAAATGGTATTCGATTTTTAAAACCAAGGAGTTTTCAATTAAAAAGATTTTAATATGACAGGAACAGTGGAAATATTCTATTTCCGATACTTTTAGTGCAGCCCTCGTACGTGACTAACGTGGTGACATGAAATAAGTCCAATAACGCAACAGCCCTTAATGAGGGGGTAACATTTTAAAAGGCACATGTTTCTAATAATGTGTAAATTATTTATTATACAGTCATCCCGGAAAACTTGGTTTAGCAAACGTTGACCCGGAAGTTTCACAATTAAAGCGCGAGCTGCAAACACATCGATAACATATAAACGTACCGTTTTACGTTAAGGGGAAGTTCTTTCTTATTCTTTCTTATTTTAAAAAACGTTCCACCCACACTATTATTTTCTCCTGTATCGTAGAGACACTTTACAAACACAAATTGCACAAGGGCAAACATCCAGACCCGGAACAATTATTTGTAGGCCATACAAATACTTGTTCCGTGTGGGATTCTGACCCGCGGCTCCCAACGCAACAACTCACTGCTAAGTCACTGCGCTACGGAGCCGTCTCCCGTTCTATTAGATGATCATCATCATTATTACAGCCTTTCACAAGCCCACTGCTGAACATAGGCCTCCCCCAAGGAATGCCACAAAGCACGGTCCTGAGCCACCTGCATCCATCGACTTCCTGTATGTCTTACCAGGTCGTCACTCCATTTCTTGGGGGATCGCCTTACACTTCACCTACCGGTACGAGGCTGCCACTCAAGAACCTTTCTTCTCATCGGTTGTCGGTTCTTCGAGCTATATAGCCGGCCCACTACCACTTCAGCTTACTAATCCGTTGGGGTATGTCGGTTACTCTGGTTCTACTGCGGATATCCTCACTTCTAAGTTTATCACGCATAGAAACCCCGAGCATAGCCCTCTCCATAGCTCGCCCTCATACAGCCAGCAGTGAAGGACCACGTCTCAGATCCGTAAGTCATCACTGGCAACATGCACTGGTTGTACAATTTCGTTTTAAGGTTTTGAGGTATGTCTAACGAGAAGATGTGTCGTAGTTTCCCGAAAGCTACCCAGCCGAGTTGAATCCGTCGATTGACCTCTCGGTCGAAGTTGGACTTACCTAGTCGGGCTATTTGTCTCAGGTAAACATACTCGTCAACAACTTCAAGCTTAGTGCTCCCAGCAACTACCGGCATAGGTGTGACATGGACGTTAAATATGATTTTTGTTTTGTCCATGTTGAAACACTATTGATGTCATTGAGCATAGTGTTTAGGTCCTCCAGCGATTCTGCCATAAGGACTATATCGTCGGCAAATCGAAGGTAAGTGAATGTACTCGCCATTAATGTTGATACCGCATTCTTTCCAGTCTAGTAGCTTGAAAACATCTTCCAATGCAGCGGTGAAGAGTTTCGGGGATATAACGTCACCCTGTCTTACACCTCTCTGCAGTTGGATAGGTTTCGTACTCTG